CACAGAGAAGCCCCTACTTCAGGGTCGACGGACACTTGAACTCAGCCCTTTACCGCCTCTGCGCTCTCTAGCGGGTCCCTCTCCTCTCCAAGGCTTAGTCCTAGGGCATTCTCTAATCGTCTGTGCTCTAGCCATCGCGGCAGGACCATTGAGGAAAAATCAAGTAGTCCGTAAACCGTCAGGAACGACCCTTTCCTCACCCTCCTTACGAGGACCATCACGCGACCCCTTTTTGGTCTTTGCTAAGACAATCCTTGGTAACTCCATCCCTCCTTCTGTCTACTTTCCGGATCCAAAGAAAAGTATCGACCGGGTAATGGGTGGGGTCGGGAGAAAAGCAAAAGTGCGTAAGTTTCCAAAGCTCCGTAGCTTCGTGAAAATTTTCTAGCATTGCAGGAATCTCCTCATTGTTTGCTTCCGAAACGAAACATGGCTAGGTTTAGAAAATACGACTCGCTCCACCTACTCACCAAGAATCACAACTACGCCCCCATCTCATGGGAAGTTTCCCGTAGTTTGTGGAAAATGATTTTAAAAAGGCCAAAAATGATGAAAGTAAGCGCAGTACTACGATACATAGAGCCCCAAAAAAAGCACCGAAGAATGTTGGATGACGTCTGAGACTGCAAAAATATTTCCGGAAGGAGTGCGTAGTCAGCCGTTCAGTGCGTGTTTTTCTTTAGTAATAGATGCTGCTGGAATGCGGTCTAGAAAAAGTTCTGCGAAAGAAGCTATTCATAGCCATCAGAAACTGTTCCTATTTAACAACCCGCACGTTCGGGCCTTCTGTTTTTGTTTACATTCTTGTAAAATGTTCTGTTATCAGCTGGATGAAGACCATCACAACAATCTTCACTCGATAAGCATTGCTTTCGGAATCAGGGGTCATGTCACTGGGGAAAATTCCTCAAGAACAATTGAGTCCAATACGACCCCGTTCTTTGTATTGTTGAAGATTCATCAATGCACAGCGTACCCTCCTCGATGCGCTTTTTAAAGAAGCTCTTCGAAATTGAATAATCGGCAAATCTGTGAAAAATCAAGGAAGGATTCCCTTGTGAAGTACCCCATGAAGGAGGGGTTTACCTTGTTGTTTATTTGTTTTGCTTGCTCATGGGTTCACTTTATGCACAGAACGCAACACCAACAATATGCAGCTGCTGTATCGTGTTTATCATAACCTGTTCATACTGACTTACTTGCTCTGTAGCTGATTTTCATTGCAACTGCGGTGTTCGAGGACGCCTGTTTACTATGCCCCAATTGGCCCAATATAACCAGCACAGTCGATGCAGAACTCGCCCTAACCTCAGGGTCGAAATCGCATGATTTTATCCACATCACCAAGCAAATGTGCTTGAGCAATGAACTCAGCGCACTTCAAAGCAACAGTCCCAGCAGGGTTTCACCTTCGACACTAATGGTGTGGAACGATGCGCTAGCCCTAGTCAAGAACATAAGAAGTGTGACTGAACAAAAAACTCACCTTGGAAAGCCGCTAGAAAGGGAGCTGAACGGCTTCGAAGTGGGCGTGGTTGGAATCGGCCGAGGGACTGCACAACCACGCCCACTTCGAAGCCGTTCAGCTCCTTTCTAGCGGCTTTCCAAGGTGAGTTTTTGTTCAGTCACACTTCTTATGTTCTTGAGGCTAGCGCATCGTTCCACACCATTAGTGTCGAAGGTAAAAACCCTGCTGGGACTGTTGCTTTAAGGCAACAACGCGCAGCAACGGGGAGTTTGAGGGCACCCAAACCCTGACGATCACACTCCCAGCGCTATCGTAGCCCTTTTAAATGCCTTCTCTAAGGGCCGAAGTTTGTTAATCACTAATGTCCAAGTTCGACTTTGAATAAATCTTGGCATAGTCCAGAATATAATAGCGTAGTTGCTCAGCTCCCAAGCAAGATTGACAACAACTTTTTTGACAAAAGTTGTTGTCAATCTTGGTTGGAGCTGATCAACTACGCTCTCATATTTTGTTAATGACTGTCAACGGGAAAAGTTCTTGTGCTTCAAAGAGGAGACACCTTTGAAATAGCACGCCCCGACCCGTAAGGCACTTCTACGCAGCGTGGCCGATATCGATGCTCAGACTTTGAACTCTTACTGAAGTGAGGAAGCGATCAAAGAAAGTTGGGAAACATTACATCGAAAATGAGTTTGGAACAAACTTTTGCCTTGATGAGAAACAGAGAAGATCGATTGCTTGTTTCTTATCAAGGCTCACCCTAAACCCGACCTAGCTCTAGGCCTTGAACAGCTTTCATTATAGCAAGGCACTGAGTTATTGCCTTCAAAATAAGTATAAGCCCCTACAGGCATTCCCGATTGGAAATCGTGATATTTTGTTCATGCCAGCATCGATCCGGGCCAAACTATCGCAGAATGGTTCTGGAGGATTTTTATCTACTTTCCAAGTAGCTCCATGGTAAGAGCAGTGCCCACCGTCGACAATCTCAGATAGGACCCAGTCAAGTGAATAAGAATCTAGTCGACCTGTCCGAATGACATCTCAGCCAGGAACAGAACACCATTTCTCTGGGTTTCTCGACTTCTCTACACTCTCGTCACCCTCTTCTTCCTCTTCTTGCCCGCCCTGATGTCAGCTGTTTCATCTTCGCTTGTCATCTATCCGCGCTAATCAACACTAACAGTAGCTCGAGAACCTGAAACACTCGTCATGATTTATCGTTTTTTCCGAATTTCTACATAATTAAAATCTATTATTGGTATCACGACAATTAAGCCGTTCTGGAATTTGGTAATCTCACTCGTCTTGCATTTCCTTTGGCTCAAAAGTAACCCGATCAAGAGGTTAGGTCTGTTAGCCTCACTTCTGCCCTGCATCGGCATCTCACTCTCATTTGTAATGAAACACTGAAAACTAATCAACTGCTTGTTGGAATACGCCATGCATTCTTCTTTCCCTAGGGATTACACTACTGTTTAGATGCATATTTTTTCGATATATATTTTTTCATGGGAAATCCCCCTCTGAAACAGAGCTTCTGTTTTTATGTTTCGCAGAAAATTCGTTTGAATATGCTCCCATTTCGGAAAAAAAATATTGAAAGAAGAAGCGAATCCAAAAGATAAATCCACAAAACACACCTCTCTTCTCTTCGTCCATTTCCTGCTGGGCTACCCACTCAGAGAGATAATTATGACGCGATTTGTTCTTGCTCCCAGGATCGATGGACCATTACTTATGCGTAGTCAGTGATTGAATATCATGTGACTTCAGTATCTGATGTGCTTTCGCGTGGGTCTCGTGCTGCTGACGGTGGCCTACGCCCTTCCTTTGCCGATTCACTACGATGTCCTACCGTATAGAGCGAAACGTCACAATGACAATTCGTCCACCATGGCCACGTTCACTGGTGAGTTCTTCGCCTCTATTTTTTCTATACCCCCCAGTTACCATGACTATTCTGAAACTCCAAGACCGAAAATATTCTAATTCGGTTCCAAGAGGCCACGCGCTTTCAACCAATGTCAACTGTGCCTTCGCACTATACGATTTAGATTGTGGCATGCGTAGGATAGTTAAGAGAATTTCTTTTCACTGCACATGTAAACTCTCCCCCCCCCCCCAGCGCTCGTCGCCTTTTTAGAGGAAAAGTAGGCGTTGGGCTGTGTTGGCTGGTCTCAGAAGCAAATACTATAAACAGTCACTCTGGCGAAGGGCGGCGGTTGGGATAGGAAGGAGGGGATTGTATTGGGGGGCCTCCTGTGTCTCATTGTGGTGCTGTGGGGGGGGGGGGGGGTTGTAGCATCGGAGACCAGCTAACGGAGGGGGGTTGCCAAATTTCTGAAAAAGTGTGGACGTCACGGTTGACCCTGCTTCCAACTACGTCTTTTGCAGCTCTGCTTAAGAGCAAGAGCTACGAACAGTAAGTCCATTGCCTCCTAGGATTTTCGCGATCCTCGTAAATGCGAACGACGAGCAGTAAACCACTGTGGTCGTTTGCTCGTCTCGTGTTGTTGATTCGTCACAATTGCATTTAATGAGCCCCGGAAGTGAGCCCCTTGTTCATTTCGCACACCTGCTAATCCTCCTACACCAACGGTCCCATAGTGCAAACTACAGAAGAATTACTGATAATGTACAAGCGATTAGGCCACTATCATTTTTCAGTGGAACGTCTGGACGCGCCAATTGAAAGGATCGAAATCCGCTTGATTGACGAGAATTCCACAAATGCTGTTATGGAGTCGGCTGCAGCACGGCCTCAACCGCTTCAACCAGCTGCCGTTGGTGCTGCGGAACACAGCGCAGCGAACGCAATCGACACCAACACGGGATCAGATGATCAGTACGATGTGAGGTACAAAAAGGTATATAGCAAGAAGTCATTTCAGTGCAGTTGCTCGCTCGCCCGCTTCCTTTACCCCTTCCTCTGTCTATTCGATTTTAACACCTAGACGTAATCAGTAATCAGCTAACGCTATGCTACAGCATGTGCTGTTTGTCTCTGACTAGTTTCAGTTGAATTCAGTTGTTACTGGGGCAGATTACCGTAATCCATCATAACTTGTAGTTCTACCGTATTTAGCCGCCATAAAGTAGATGCTAATCTGTAGAAGGCCCATGCGTTCAGCCCCAGTGCGGCCGCAAGCACTGAAATGGATCTTACCTTAGATTTATTTTTGTAATCCCTTTTGTATCTTTCTAGCTTGCAGAAATTCTTCTCTGACTCAAATTTTCGTCCCGTTCTAATTGAAAACTTTTGCGGAAAGGCGGCACTCTTTTGGAGCTCCCGTCCCGGCCGTGCCTGGTTCTCCTCTCAACCTGAGGTTTTATCCAAGGCCAGGACATATGAGCTGCTGATCAAATTTCAGCTGTAACTCCACAAAGGACGCCGCCTCGCCTATCGTGCTGCCCTGATCGCTTTCTAGAATTTCTCCGCTTACCAGCGCCTGTTGACGACCGCTTGTCCGCCCAACACCTGCATTGCTGACAACTGATGAACGTGGCTGACAGCCGGAACTCTTCTCAACTTTCCTCTGATGTCTTTTTCAGGTCGAGTACGTGAGTGACGTGATGCTGACTCGGCAGGATAATTCACCAACTGAACTGGCTCCACCTCATCCAGCAGACGCTAATGGCAATGAGAACTCTGCAGCCACATCTACAGGTGAATCTCCCACACATGGCGAAGAGACAGCTGATGAAAACGCGCCCAGAGCCAAGGTGAATTCAGCCGTTATGATGGTCCAGGAAACGTTGATTGACAGGCATTTCAGGCGAGAGCTTGGCTGTCGTTTTCTACTCGAACGCCGTCGGACAACGACGACATCGACGTACTAGCTCCAGAAGTCGAAGAGAGCAGCTCGGTGAGTGAATCTACGAGATTCTCTCCACAATCAATGTATCGGCTTTTTAGCCTGGTCTAACTCGAGATCTTTCAATAGAGTGGTAATTCAAAATGGTGTCCGACTGGAATCCGATGAAGCCAAGCAATAAATAACCAACTTTGTGAAAAACAAGCCCTTCAAATAGCTTTTCATCCTACCTAGCAGAACGTTCGCAACGGGCTCGAATAGAATCCTCACTATGATCTATACTTTGTGGCCGATTCAGCTTCTGCTCGCTGAATATAGCGGGCCAACCTAAGCTTTCTTCTAAAAACTTTCTCTCTGAACGTTTTCGAAATAGGGACTATGGCTCCTATTTTGAAAACGACCCATCCTGAAAAAAAGCTTTTCTGTCATATTTTTTTCATTCGGAGTTAGCGTCCGTACAGTACCCACTTCAGAAGCGAAATTTGGGGGCCTCCCAATAAAATGCTATAACTCTTATTTTTTGCACCGTTCAAGTTCAGTCTTGTCAGTTATCTTCTATAATTCCCACTTCAGATTCTCAAAAATGCGCGTATAAGCTCCACAGACCCTTCCCTTTGAGAGAGGTTGAAGGGCCCCTAAGCGAGGGCTAGCGTCAGTGAGTCGGAAGTGCGCCTCAAGGGCACCAGTGCTTTCCGTTGACCGCTGCGATGGCGACTATTTGCAGTGAACCTGGAATCTGCGCTCTCTTGTACAACGTGCGCTTCGGGTTTTCCCTCTCTCCGCAGCATCATGTCTAGCCATCGGACCACAATCGATCCCTAGAGAATGAGGCATTCAATTTTAGTTCGTATGATGCTTTTATTTCTTTTTTTTTCAATGACGGTCCTTTCGCACCCTTCAAACAAAAAACTTACCAATTCGATCGCGACCTGTGTTTTTAAAAAAATTATCTGAACCAAGCCGGTAGAAAGAGTGAAGGGGGATAGCGCGATGACAGGCGGCCCTTTTTCATCTGGTGGATTCGATCCTATGTGATCATCAAGTCATCCATCTCTGGACTATTAATGGTCAAGACTAAATCTGTTCAGAACCATGACGGCAAAAAAAAGCGCATTGGATTAGCCTTCCAATGCGGGTTGGTTCGGGAACTTATTGGTGTGCTCTAGGATTCCAGATGCAGGTCAAGTTACTGAAGCATTGTAAAGTGCCCAGATTTCATCCTATCACTTATTTATCCCGATCACTGTGGTCAGCTTTGAAGTCCTGCAGAAAGCATTTGCATGCATTTGGGGTGAATTCCAACGGAATCACTGATTAAATGTTTGATTCGATCTCCATCAACATGCCTTTGACGAACGGCAAACAGAAAAGAGAAGCGAAGAAAACATCACGTCGTGGTAAGAAATGCTGTGTCTTCTTGTCACCTGCTCCACTGCGACTTTGCTCGCTTCCGTTGTAATGCGAAAGCTTGTACTCGCTTTATGACCGGGGACGATAGCCGCCACCGGACGCAGGGAGGGAAATCCCGAACGGGGACCACGAGAAATTTCAATGCTGATAGGAAAAGCTTAGAACGGATTGTGAAACATTTAGGATTTAATCATTAGAAACAGTAAGCTTTATGCAAAACTGTGCCGCTATAACTCAACGATAAATAATAGCCATTATAAGAACATCTTTGTTGGGTAGTAAAAATAATAAAAATTTATCGCAATGTTTTTCCATTGTTTGCTTTTGGAGGCGATGAGGGTATTGATACAGCCAAGCCTGCAAGGGTAATATATCCTTCGAAAAGGGAAGCTAGTTATTAAGGCAACAACCCCAGATCAAAATGGTGAAGTAAGGAGCGGTAGATATCGAAATACTAGATGCTAAGTTGACTAAAAATGAAAAATGAAGTAAAGTAAACTGTCCATGAAGCTTTCAACGACGACTCCTTTTCTTTCCCCTTGGATTGAGGAGGGGCGTGTCCGGACGAGTTGTCTGAACTTGCTTGCTCCATGGCTTCACTAACCGCGCGTATTTGAATTAGCCGCTACGTTGTAATCCACGCTGCGTCCTACGGGGTGTGCGCGAGGTATCTCGTCCATTAACTCAAATTAGCCGTCATTAGCTCACTTTATAAGATCCTAGCGCCATTGTTGTGGACTTTCGAACTACAACAATGGCACAATTGTGGTATCTTGGTACGCATGGGTTACTCTATCCTACCCACAGAAGAGGTTATTCGACACCATCTACGTTTATTGTTTTGAAGTTAACAACATAAGGTCTTTTCACGACAAAAACAGCAGCTTCCTTCGCCCGTTGCGTTTCGCGTTCGATCTACTCCGACCCCAGTTTTGTCGCAACAGTTGGCCTTTGTGCGTCTGCACTTTGAGCATTGCTATAGAAACTTGTAGCAAGCCGTTCATCTTGACCATCCCACCTGCACAAGAAGTTGGTCCAACGTTCAAAATGTTCCGCGTAGTTTTCACTATCGCACCAGCTAGCTCTTCGACCGCCACCCAAAATTGTGTACACATTGCCTTGAAAGCAGGGATCACAAGAATGTGAGCGATAATGTAGGCGAAAGAAGCGGAGTGGAACAGATATATACCCGCCCTGTTAAATTGTCATGGTGGCACCACGGGGTCACGGGGTGGTAGCTACCAAAATCACTATGAGGCGCAGTGTGGTCTGAAAGCCGCCCAGAAATCCTCCTCAATCGATGTTGTTAGGACGATGCCAGCATCATATATGATTCAATTATGCATCATGTTTTTTCTTTGGCCAGGAAGTGCATTTCATGTTAGGCATTCGTAATTTTTAAATTATTGTATCTTAACTTCTGATGGGTCATTCTGGCCCAAACGATCTTTTAAAAGATAAGGTAAAGCATTTGCCGTTGATCAATCCCTTTTGGGATGCGGCACGCATTCTACTTCCATTTGTACATTCGTAGTGGCGTTTGAATGCGATGTGGCCTATACAATGACTTGCGGGGGCCAGCCGATGTACAAGTCAGTGTTTATCCTCCCAGACAAGTCTGGTACCAATTAGGGATGGAAGGCTTGGTTGGCCCGGGCGACTCACGACCCAGGATTTGATCCCCGGACCGCGCGCGTGGTAAGCGTGCCACTACACCACTGCCAATCTCTACGGAAAATTAAATATAATAAATGCCTAGTAAGGAAGAGATGCAGGTTCGAGTCTCGCCGGTGTGGCGAAACTTTTTGTTTTTCTTTCTGATTCATTATGATAATATTCAATTTTAAGCAATTTAATATCTTGTTTTATATAAATTGGCCCACCCTGGATATCACCATTCATTTCATAGAGAAAGGCTAAAAATGTTGAATTAAACATTTATGGCCAAAGAATAGATTTTACAAATTTTTTATTTAAGTCCATCCTAAAAATCGGCGGTGACTTTCCGTATAACCCAATGGTTATATATACATTATATTAGACATATGGCTCCATTGTAAATGTACACTGCTCCGACATTATCCTTGTGCTCACTGTCAGAATAGATTGATAAAAATAAAAATAAACAAGAAACAAATAAATAAACTTAACTCAACTTGTGTTCCTAGGAATTTGGGCGTTCACCACGAAAACACCTGTTTATGTTGAAAACATTCCACAACAATTATTTGCCTCAGTTAATGATTTATTTCATCACATTCTTCTTCGTTTGTGAACAGCTGGTCTCGTGTTGGTAATTTGTTCTGTCAGCTAACCTAGCCACCCGATAATTATTGATTTTTAAACCTGAACATTAATCTCTTCACTGCCTTCTCATAGAAATGGCTTGCAAGTCATCGCAGGCGCCCTAAAACTCTATTTTGAATATTCCGCCAAAAAAAAAAAATAAAAAATAGTGCCCCAGTAGCGTAACTGGTAGCGCACTTGCCCGGAAAGCGAGAGGTGCGGGTTCTAGTCCCGCCTGGGGCGAAAGTTTTGTTCACAACCCAGCATTCTTGTAAAATTCCCTCGAAGCTCCCTAGTTCTCCGAAAAAATGTTACGTATGATTTCTGTAGTAGAGTGGCAAAACGATAGAGTGAACAAGCAGATTTGCCATATCGAATGATCTTCCCAGAACAGTGGTAGAGACGGTAGGGGATGAGATGTACGGGGAATAGTAGAGCCCGCTCTTTGCCCGGTGGGTAACGCTCTCAACTTCGTGTTCCGTTAAACAGGAACGATGAAGCGGTTGCTAAATCACTGCTCCATGGGTTACCTACGAAGCGGTTACCCAGATTGGGTAAATAATTAGTGTCACAGTTTTCGTCCGGAGCAAAGATGACACACGAATTTGTAAGTATTTTTAAGACGAATAGCCTTTGAAAGCTTATCTCTTCACCCAGCAAATTACCTTGGGTAACGTTGAAATTGGATGCCGACGTTAGAGATGGAATGAGACAATAAATCTTTGAGTTACAGGACGATGAGTACGAGCCCGTCGAGGAATGTCTACTGAACCGAGCTGAACTACCGCTGAAAACTGTACAGAAGCTAGGTACAGTGTTTCCATGCTCTCACATGAAGTTGGTACCAAGGGATTTCAGATGGACCGAAAGCTCACCATTAGCCGATGGGGGAGATTCGCTCATGGCAAATCGTACCATTGGCTCCTGACAAAGGAGAAAGAATCCAAATCGTGGTGAATACAAAGCAGTTCTATTCTGGTCATTTTAACGCTGACACTAAAAAGCTCGCCTGACTGAGGTCATGGTGGAAACCAGCTTCAACCGTCCCTTGGACAAAGTACAACGAGGGGTCGTTTTCGGTCAACGATAAGTGGGGGGGGGTCGTGAAATTTTCAAAATTTGTCTAACGTGACAGTTGACCCGAGCGAAAACCGCATTGGGTTATTTGTTCGACTCCTTTGTGGGGTTTATTACTCATTAACACTATCCGCTCGAGTCCAAACTTCTCACCTGAACTCGTCATTAAGTTGTGGTTGTTCGCGATTGATGCAGTATTGCTGCTGCAAGCCTATTTCTGGTGCGAATAAGTTTGCCGAGCTTCCGTGCTTGTTCTGTCAGCTTCTGCACAGTTTTCAGCGGTAGTTCAGCTCGGTTCAGTAGACATTCCTCGACGGGCTCGTACTCATCGTCCTGTAACTCAAAGAT